GTGGGTACCCCGCCCGGCGCGGTGCGTTCACGGCCACGTTGGCTTTTTCAAGCTGGGCGAGGTACTGGTGGTTTAAGAAGCACTGGACCTCCCTGTTCGAAAATAAAATTTCGAATTGGGTGTTGGATGTCATGATGACAATGCGGGGCAGGTGACTTTCATACTGGTGACAGTGGAAACGGGCATTTGCAGTGGCGCAGTAGAGCCGTCGTAATCCGTCACGAATTTGTGAGCGCCCTGCGAAGGTCCATCGCCATTGCGTCCTCCTGTCACCGCACGTATGTGTGGAGTTGAGCAAACGAGGGGAACGTCGTGGGCGACTTGGCGCTGAGGTTCTCGTGGTCGTGGCGAGTTCGTACGCTGTTGTATTTCATGGTTCATGAGCATTGCAACACATGTGCCGACGGAGGGCGGCAGCGACGAAGTATATACGAAGTTGACGACGATGGAGAAGACAGTCGTGGCGGCGGCCGTGACCGTCGTGACGATCGTGCTCTTTCGTTGTCAACAGGAGAGGACATGGGATAGAATGAGAGCGCAGATTCGCCCGCGGAGGAGGAAGACGCGTCATCAAGTCCCGGTCAAAGGGCTGGATACCGTGGCCATCACCGAGGCTGTAGTTCAGGTTTGCTGTGCCATGGGTTGCAGTGTTCTTCCACGAGCGATGCCAGGGGGGGGGTGGAAGGATCTCAGGCAATGCAATGACGTGACGGAGGAGTACTTCTGGGAGAAGCTGTGTATGTCGCCACGTGTCTTTCGGGCGATGGTGATTGCATCCAGTGTGGACGAACACCTGCGGGACGCGATGCCAATGTCAATGTCGAATGGAGTCGGTGTTGATCCCTCGTCTTCTGTCCTGGAGACCTTTGATAGAGGCCGACCATTAACGATAGAGGATGCACACGTGGAACAACAGGACCATGAGAAGCAAAATTGTGACTAGGAGCACCAGTGGCCGCCTTCGATAGAGGTCGGCCATCAAGGACACGTACGACATGGCCGTAACTCCACGACGACGGTGTAGGTCCACCGAACGGCGACGATGAAGGGAGCAAACGGTAGAGGACAACATATGACACACACACTCAGCAGCTTATGAACAAGTTCTGCCTGCTATCAGATATGTTTGTGAACTGGGGACAGAAGACTGTAGGGTGGTGGATGCATCACCAAAGCGGAAGACCGCCGGAATACCCACAAATCACATGGCTCCCCCATGAGTCC